CCCCTTCAATAACAATCAGATAAAGAGACAGAGCAAGGGCAAGAGGCTCAGAAGAAACCTCCTTGGCTTCTTTGACTGTAAAAGAATTGAGGGGGGGGGAGAACTGTACCTTCAAACTTGCAAGATTTTTGTCAATGTAGCTTTACAAAAAAGTAGAATTAGCACATCTGACATGATTCCTATCTGGTTTACCCTGCAAGGCTGACAGAAAATTGTTCACCCTGTGATGTACTATTAGCTTTATCTGACACACATATACTGAATCGGTTAACACACATATGCCTCTTCCCGGTTATTTCCAGAGAAGCTTGTCCGACCTATTATCTGCACCATAGTCTGGCAGGAGATAATGAGACCGCTTTTGCAACAAGGAATATTTCTTTGCACTCTGCTTTTGAAGTAGCTAAGGCATAAAATCACAGTTTCAATTAGACTATCTTTTATAATTTATTTTCAAAGTACATAGCCTGTTCTTTTTTTTCTTCCAAAAGTGGATAGAATATCAACTCAGTTTAATCCCTGCCACAGATGCTTCTGACACATGCTTACTGTATCAATAGACACTATCTAGATAAATAGTGTGGTGATAAATACTTGGCAATTTCTGATAGTGATTTTGCTTCAAGAATATTTTTGTTCAAGATCACTTTGTCTAGTTCCAATGGTTATGTGGGATTACAAAACAATTACTGCAAATACGTACACTCAGACCCAAATGGTGTGACAACTTTTTATCCCCCCCCCCATACCATCAGTTTCTCACAGAAATTATTATTGATGAGAAAAGTACCTATACAAAACCCAATTCCATAACTCTTTCCTACTACATCTTAACCAACCACACCTCTTATTACTAATTTTTATAGTGCAGGTCTATGAACAGGGTCAAAAGCCTCCATTTTAAGATTATCAAATCACAATCTTCTTTCTCCATGAAGAGCCAGTACAACTATGTAGATTTTTGATCAGGAAAGCATTTGCAAGGTTTCATTACATCACCAGTTCCCTTCTCATTTGGCAGGTAGGAAACAAGAGGTCTGGTTTGCCCACTGTTTGAAAGATACATTCTATACTGCAGGACTTTAGCAGTGAGTTGTCTTGAAATTGAGAGATATGATTCTCGGCCATTCTAGATTACTTTATTGAGTGAAGTTAATCCAGACCATGACTGATTCAGTTTGGAGTTAAATTTAAGCCCCTGTGAATTAATTACTTAGGTCAATTAATCCCTATTTGCTGTACTTATTACATACATATTATATTTGTAGTAAGAACAAGGCCTGAGAGTGTGACCTTACTCTGTTGCTTGGACATCTGAGAAGCCTTCTGGGTACAATTGATTTGAATAGATCAAAACAGTACAGAAATTCATTCCTTTTTGCTTCCTATCCAAGTAAAAGCTGGCAGCTTCCTGGAAAAAAAATGGCTAATACTTATTGTTTGCAGGGAATGTAACATATGGTGTAGCTATGACTGCAATTAAGAGGCTTATTCCTCCATTTTATTAAAATATTAGATAAAAGTCCTGACTGATCAAATTCATGATGAAGGTTATGGTCAGGAGCATTTGTTAATGGCCATGAGACATGGAATATTGGAGATTCAAATCTAAGGGGAGTAAACAGTGCAAAACATAAAGTGAAGTGAGGTGGTGAGGGGAAAGGGAAGGGAAGGGGAGAGAAGAAGAGAGAGGAAAGGAAAGATGTAAAAGATCTGAATTATTTGTTGATACAATGTATTTTTAGGGCCACTTGACTGTGTAATAGCTCTGGACAGCTTAAACATTTAAAAAGGAAAAAAAATCAGTATCAAAAGGGAAGAATGAAAACTCTCTTACTCACATAATGGCCAACCAAAAGGGGTCCATCAACCATCTTGGACCATGCCTTGAAGAAAAAGTCAGCTTTTCAAGATTTGTTTAAAAGCACAAAGGATAGGGGACATTTGGATCTCTTCGGGATGGTATTCCACAGGGCAGTGACAGTGATAGAGAAAGCATACCTCCTAGTCTTGCTAGATGATATTATTTAATAAAATGGGACCAAGAGCATATAAATTCATCTGTTCATACAGGATATAAGGAATACAAGATCAGAAGTTGGCCTGCTCTTGTGCAGTACAAATGAAGATGATTGTAACAACTAAAATGTGTGTCATTAAATACGAATTTTATTGTAGTGGGTGTACATGAAAGTTGGAATTCCTTTGTTGATGATAGTTGCCTATTATGATCCACCGAATGGTGATAATGGCAGATATTCTCTAGACATGATTTTGGGGAGATATTATGCAACATTCTGAATGATTAAGATTATGGGGAAATGTTATTCTGCAAAGTAAACATGAATGGATAGATAGGTCAAAGAATACAGAAAAAGCATTGGGCCATTCAGAAATTATAAAATTGGATTTTCATACATGCTCTACTCATAAATCTATTCTCGTTTACCCATGGCAAGGGAATGAATATCAATCTAATCTAAAAGTGTAATCAATTTTAGGATTTATGATGAAATACAGAGTAAATTAGTGAAATATGCAAAAGTGATATGATTCTGAATGTGAAATATCATTTCTTGGCAATGTCAAGAATGGTCTTGAAAAAAAATGAGTGTGGGGAAAAAAGAAAATGAAAATAGAACATCTACAGAAAGAAAAGGTATGCATTCTGTGTGACAAAGGATTAGATGATAGATTAATCTCCCAGTGGAATGAAGGAAGAGTTGACATAAGGAAATATGATGTGAAAATTATTTGGAAAAAACTGAAAAATCATATCACAGAAGAAGTTATATTGGTGGGAAATGGTGCATGGTGAAATAAAAGATGATGTAAATATTATTTAAAAGACTGATTGCTGAGGATGAGGGAAATTTGTATTACAAAAAAAAAAACCCAATAGTGAGGAATGTAACCAAGTAGAACAAGGAAAAGTTATATTTAAAAAAGTAGAAAAAATGCAGTGTGATTTTGGTGGAAATTGATAAAAATTGTTTTTGGAATGGGCAAAAAGGATTGTTTTTGTTGGTGGTGAAAATAACATTTTGAGGATGCTGATTGTGTGAAAGTCCATTAATGGCATACATTATTTTCCTTTTCTCCTAAGAAACAAATATTTCTCTGGAAAACTACAATGGACATGGCAAGTGAGGAAAGACCTATGTAGTAATCCTTATCTATGAAACCCCTCTATGCCCCATAATCTCAGAAGAACCTTTTTAAATTGCATCATGATCATGGAAAATATATCTTTATATGCATAGTGAGGCCACACTTGGAGTACTATTCCAATTCTGGTCACCATGATACAAAAAAGATGCTGAGGCTCTAAAACAAATGCAGAAAAGAGAATGCTTACAGGAGATCTGATAACAGTCTTCCAATATTTGAAGGGCTGTCACAGGGAAGAGAATGTTGATTTATTCTTCATAGCACTTGGGAGTAAAACAAGAAATAATGGGTATAATTTCATCAGATGGAGATTCAACCTGGAAATAAGGAGGAATTTCCTACCAATGAAAATGATTAATCAATGAAACAGTTTGCCTTCCTAATTGATAGGTGCTACTCCATTGCTGGAAGTTTTTGTTTTTTTTTTAAATTGGACAACTATTTGACTGGGATAGTACGAGGACTCCTGTCTTTGGGCAGGGGATTGGACTAGAAGACCCCCAAGGTCCCTCTCAGCCCCATGATTCTATGATTACTATAAGCATTTTCTAATACAGGGGTTCCCAACCAGGGGTGCTCGCATCCCCCTGAGGGTGCGAGCAATATTCCAGGGAGTGCAAAAACTTGGGTTTTCAAAATTATAGTGTATATGCATAATTCATTGCTGTTATTTTGAACTTTTGTAAGGGGTGCGAGAATATATCTATCAGAAACGTTCTAGAGGTGCAGGGTATAGAAAAGGTTGAGAACCACTGTTCTAATAGTAGAAATATTAACTCTTTTAATCTTTCATCTGCTGTCTTTTCTTCTTTTTAAATTGCACTAAAACATGTAAATTAAATTAAAGCATGTAAAAATCATGTTTACTTTTATTGTTTTATCCTGGCTGTTAATCATTAATGAAAACCAATTTAGCTAGAGAAAGATAGGATAAAAAGCTTCATTGTTCAGAAGTGCTTTCTGCGCAAAACATCTGGAGCAAGCGAGCATCATTTCACCAGTGAAGGCTGATGCTTAAGTGCTGGTGAATCAGGTCATAGAGAATAATGTACTAAGGGAGCAGAAGACAGCTTTATGTAATCTATTTCCATAACCTCCGGTTTTCTGCTCCAGTGAACTCCATGGCACCAGTTTAAGGAGGAAGACGTATCAACTGGCCAGAGAGAAATGGTTTCATTCATAAATACTAATGGCACATTTATGAAATCATTTGTTTTAAAAATATGCAAGTATATTATTTATCCTTATTTATTGCAAGGCTACAGGAAGATATTTACATCGGAGGCCTGTCTACTGCTGAGCAGCAGACCTGAGGTATCCTGATGGGTCCAGACACCAAGGTGGGGAGGTGGAAGCAAACTGGAAAGATTGGGGGGGGGGGTGAAGCAAACGTTGGACGGCAGCTCTGTGCCCGGCGGGTGTATTAAAAGAGAAACAATTGGTCACAATACGTTAAAATCCCAAAGGATCTAGGCCTTGGGTTGTGTGAATGGTGGGAGATGCCTACGGTTTCCAAGGGGGCTGCGCATGAACTTGGGAGCGAGAAGCCCTAGTAACCGTTCGATGGAGAGAAAAGTACCCCCGGTCTTTTGACTGGCTGCGATCTGTCCCTCCTTTCGCCTCGCCCACAGGAGCTGTCAGTGAGCACTCGCTCCAGACAGAGGGCGGGGAACGCCGACTGGTTTAATCTCCCGGGGAGGATTCCGCAGCTCTCCTAATCCTCCTCCAACCTTCCTCCTCCCGCCGCTCACGAGCACTTCAGCGGAGTCCCCACGGCTGACTTCCCCTCCCTCATTTTCCCCGCCCCGTCGCTAGCTGGAGGGGGCGGGCTGGGGCTGAGGCGGAGCTGGGCGGCTGGCCAAGGTGCCTCCAGGCGGGGCCGGGCTAGCCCGCGGCGCCGTTTCCCCTGGCAAGAAGCGCTGCTTCCCGACCCGCTGCGCTTTGTGTGCGCGCAAGCGGGAGTGACTCGGTGACAAGGCGGGAGCTCAGAGCGGGCGGCAAGTGAGGGAAGGCGGCGGCGGCGGCGGCGGCGGCGGCGGGAGCAACAACACTATGAGCGGGGTTGGGGCGGCGGCCAGCGTCGCTGCCGCTTCTATTCCGATCGGGAAAAGCGAGAAACTGGATGAGGCTCAAGCTCTGGCCCGCAGTTGCGCGGGAAGACCCGACTTTCAGCCTTGCGATGGGTTGTCGCTGTGCGCCACACACAGTCACGGCCGCTGCTTCCGTCTGCACTGGTGCTGCCATCTGGGCTGGTGCCATTGTGAGTATGAGTACAGAGGGCGAGGAGGCTGGGATGGGCGCGGCGGATGGGACGGGAGAAAGCAAACCAGAGGAGGGATTCGGGGGGGGGGGTGTCCCTGCAAGCTGCTGCCTTCCAGATGTTCCGCTCTGTTGCAAGGAACCCCTTGGCTGAAGGCTGCAGATTCGTGGCAAGGCAGCGGGCGGGCGGGCGGGCGGAGGTTTGTGGAGCCTTCGGAAAGGGAGAGAGATTGGCTAATCACACCGGGGATGGAGAAAAATCGGTAGTCCTGAGGGGAAAACCTAAACCTTTTGGTGGGTTTCGGGTTGTGGCTTTTGCTCTAGAAGGAACCGCTTCGAGGAGGAGATGGGCTCTTGCCTGATTTCTTTTTCTCTGATGCCCGGAGCGAAGATTTGACGAAGGATCAGTAGTGACAAACAGCATGGCATCCGCAGCCTAGATGGATGTCTGTGTTCTCCTGGGGAAGAGAGATCTGAGTGCTTTTGACTAGGACAAGCTAAGGAGTGGGCTGATCTGCGGTGTGTTGAGTATGAGTGGGTAGGTAGGTAAAATGTATAAGTGTAGCTGGGAGGGCTCAGCGCCGACCGCGCCAATCAGCTGAGCGGCGCAATCGGCTGAGTGGTGTGGGCATCCCGGGGCCCAGATCGCCGCGCAACACCGTAGCGGGGAGGACGCATATAAAGAATATTCCTATAAGGAATACATTCCTCCTCTTCCTAGATCTTAGTTAAGCCCTCCATAGCTATTAGAAGCAGCTTAGCTCTTTTTTTTTTCAACTATAGTATAATTGCTGAAATCATATATTCCTGTATTAGACAAGAAGTAGAGGCATCCTTCAATACTATGGACAGTGAAACCTCTTTCAATCTTTTCTTTATTTAGAGAACATGGATGGCCCTCCTGATGCAGCTCCAACCAATATCAATGTTGAGGGAGGATGGAAATTGTAATTCTACATTTGGAGGGTGCAGTTCTCTAAACCTTGAGCCAACTGTTGTAGTTTGCATAGAATAATGTAAATAGTAGTAAGTGAAGCTTGCTTTTGGATTATAATAAAAAAGCCATTCACATTTCTTCTATGGCTGCATATGTAATTTGATATACGGTTTGAAAAACTAGCCTGAGATTGTCATGGAATGGTTTTATGCATAATACTAGCTGTCTAGTTTTCAAGTTACTGTTTTCACTGATTCCCTTAGTTTGAATGGATTACTCTTAGATAAAGAATGTTGTCCGCTTATCTTTTCTTGGTGTTCAGATTAAATTTTCCAATTGACTAACAGCTCATTAATGGTTTTTTATAATCTAGAGTAAAAGATGGGACACTGGGGAAAAAGTTGTAAACTGTAAACATATATAATTTACTTCACACTTTTATCTGCAGTGGAAATGGCAATAAACAGAAGTAATACTATCCGTCTGGAACTAGTCACAAAACAAATGTCAGCAGCTTGCTATAACCACTTCATTATCCAGAGCCAAAGAACTGGAAGTCAGTGCATGGAGCTTGTTGTAGCAGATAAATAGCACTTTGTTTTCTCTGTAAGGATGCCATTGTTCTCATTCAAAGCTCCAAAGGTTTTCTCCCCATTCATAGGGACACCATAATCTGCTAGACTCAAATCCTAGGAGTCATGCAAATTATATTGTGCAAATGATTTTGTTTTCTGTTTTAAAGGTATTTTTCATTTATAAATTAGAAGTTATTTTGTCTCCTTCTGAAAGCTGCATATCTAAATAGAAAGTATAAAATTATCAGTTAATTCTACCTGTCCAAATCTGAAATTCTACTTGTTTTGGTGTTTTCATCAGTTTTTCTTTCTAGCAGTGCATCAATGTGCTAGCAAATGGCAATAAAACATACAATTCTTCTGAGAAAATGGGTAAGGGCAGGATGAAATTTGACATTTTACTTATGTCTAGATTGCAGAAGTATCCTGTTGGTTACTCTTCTTGAATTATGTTACCTTCCCTTCTAGTACCATGTTCAGCATTAAACTATGTCTGAGCAGAGCAGTTTTTTTTCTAAAGAATGAATTATGTAATCCATAGTAGTGTTCACTGATTACTCAAGACAATGTTTTTATTTTCAGGCTATTGAGCAATCAAGCCTATCTGAATTTGCTGCTTTAATGCTTCTGATCAAATGGCTGAATTTATTTTTTCCACTCTTAAACACTATAGTCACAGCAGGATTGGGTGCATCATCTAAAATCCAAATTGTATTAGACTGTGTGATAGCATTCATAACAAGTGATCCCATATATGACTGAGCTTAGAATTTCTGCACAGTCTCTTTCATGTACTCAATTAAAAACATCACAGGTTTTCTTTTATGATGTATATCCCAAGTGGAAATCGCAACAGACATTATGTCAGATTTGGCTTTTTGCTTTTGGTAATATTATACTCCATTGAGGCCAACTGATTGTGTGCCATTAAGTTAGGGCTGATTCTTATCAAGCACACAGAGAGATTTTCTCCATAATGATTTAACCTGGTCTTTTAGATCTCCCAGTGGTGTAGTCATAGCTATTGGAACTGAGTCAATTCACTTTGCTGCTGGTTATCTTCTTCTCCTTTCTTCCACTTTTCCCAGCACAAGTCTCTTTTCCATGTACTGTATCACAGGGAATACCATGGTTTACACTATTCTGATTTTTGTAGGTATAGGTAGATCATGGCATCTGATTATCTTTTCCAAGATCTTTGTGGCTGCTCTACCAAATGTTTGGGTGCGGCATATTTGACTGCTTGTTATTTTACTGATGATGGTTGATCCTACAATGCAGAAAATATTTAATATACATTCAGCATATAGATTGAATAAAAAGGGGGAGATTATATAGGCTTGTCTCACTTCTTTGGCAACCTGGAGTCAGTCTTCCTCATTATGTTCTATCTCTACTATGGCTTCCAGTTCTATGTTAGGCTCCTTATCTGGGATTCTCATTTTTCTAACTATATTCTACAACTTGACATGATCAACACAATTGAATGTATTCTTTTACGATTAAAGAAGCACATACTGATTTCTTTTTCATATTCTTTAGCTTTCTCAGTTATCTAGGCTGCATCAGCAATTATGTCTTGTGTTCTTCAGCCTTTTTAAAAATCATCTTGAATATCTGGCATCTCTTTTTCAGTGTAGGGCAGGAGTCTTCAAACCCGCCCCTTTTATGTCTCATGGAATTTAACTCCCAGAATTCCTCAGCCAGGCACACTGGCTGAGGAATTCTGGGAGTTGGTCCATGAGTCATAAAATGGCCGAGTTTGAAGACCCCTGATGTAAGGCCATCTAATCTTCATCAGATGATCCTGAGGATTATTTTGTTAGCATGTGAAATTAAGGATTTCTGATGAGACTCACTAAACTTTGCATACTGTAGGTGAACTTATTTAATTAATGTCTTTGTTGCCCTAAATGTAATGATTGAGTTGGCATAAATCGCAGAGGTAACAGTTAATATCTTCAAGGCAAGAATGGTGTCTATAGTGGTTCCAGATTAAGCTCTTCTCATTTCTTGCTAGAGCTAGAAAATAGGCCTGCCTCAAACATGAACACATTTACCAGGAATTGTAAAGACTTTGAACTAAATGAAGCAATAGTTGTATTCAAATCTGAATTAGAACATCTTCTCTTATTCCTGGGATAGACTCCATATGCCTGTATTAATTCACTTATTTTTGTAAACATAGATACTTGCCAGTGAACAGGCAAAAACAGTGTATAGAATGGTATGTCATGTTTTGCATCCCTCCCTGGGATAGCTGCAGACACAAAGTGAAAACAGCAAGGGATGTGAATGTCTTCTTACAGACATTACAAAAGCAACACTTTCTAGGAACTTCAGTTTAAAATGGTGGATGATAATTATAATTTTCAGTTAAAGACCCTGGGTTTGGTTGGTTTGGGGTTTTTTTTTCTATCTAATGTGTGAATGTTCTCTTAAGAAATGAAAATGTTCAGAAATCTAAGGAAGACTTTGAAGTATCACAAAGTCTTCCTTTGATTTCTGATTCTTTTTTACTTCTTGAGAGAAACAGATGCAAATAGTTATAAAAACTTCTTATGGATTTAGCACTTAAACAGAGTCTCCTTGGGAATATTTCATAATGAAATATATTTTAAGTCAAATTACTTGCAATTTCCAGATGTGGGTGATAAATAATCAGAATACATGTATATATTTATTCAATTACCATTAATTGTTTCTGCTTAGAGTTAATTGGACATGACTCGGTTTTGTAAAGTTTCCAAGGTACAGCAAAGGAAATATTTTTACTTTTTTTTGGCAAAGTTATGACTATTTTTGCAATTGTAATATACACTGTCTTTAGGACCCCATAAATTGTTTTCCAGTCTTTTTATAAAAAAAAAAATGCATGCTAGCTTCATACTATCCTACTATATGGCCTCAGTATGCCTACAGCCTGGCAATCCTTCTGCAACCATGGTATGCTGAGCAGAGAGATATTAGCTACCAACTAAGAGTTGATTTGGGAGCAATTTCATAACATATTATTTTAAGTGATCTCTCAATTTTAATTTTAATTTATTATAATTAGAAATGTAGCTGAGGCCAAACTAGAATTAGAACTTTTAATATTTGAATAAACCATAGAACAGAAGTTGATGGTTGGACTTAAACTGAAAGACAGATGGAAGTAAAACTTTCATCTCATTTTGCTAATTAATCTCCCAGGTATTAATAAGTATGGTTTATAAACCTGAGGTTCTTATACTGTAATCCTACTATTTATGTGCAGCATTTCTGACACAGTGATGGTTTCTGATTTTTTTGGTATGGAACATTTTTATAGGGAAATTCTATGATGTAAATGTTTATTTATTTAAAACACTTTTTTATTGCTCACCTTGTAAAACACAACTCTGAATGGCTCATGACAACAATAAAAACCAAATACAATAAAACAAACAAAACCTGAGGCACCTGAACCACAGTCTCTAGCCCATGAAACAATGCAGGTAGTTAATT